ATCAAAGACCCATCTCTTTAACCTGGCATACACATAATACACTGTCACATTTCTATAATTCAAATCCTTTAAAGGATTGTTAGGCTGCATTAATTAGGTCAACCAGAATTGGGAACACTTCCCATAACACCCCATGTACTCGCTACATCGTAAGAAGAATGGAATCTACACTAATATTAGTCTCTTTCATTCTTATACAGAGTTAACTGTACCCATCCAGATTCAGTCCATATCCAGCCCTGAATATCAGCGGAGACCATGTCAACTAGATGAGCCCTAGATACAGATCCCCTGCAAAGACCACATCAACTAGACAGCCATCGGGACAAGACCACGGGGACAGACAAGTCCTCTGCACAATCTGACCTGTGTTGCAGCCTGGAATTAGTTGGAGACGCTTGACTGATTGCACAAACACCATTGGAAGAGAGCTGAACTGGATGATGACATCACTGAATCATCAATGAACTGACTTTAACTTGAAAAATGTCTGTTTGTTATTGTCCTCTTGCATTATTGACAAACTGTTTTCCTGTTTGCCACTGTAAAGCTGCTTTGACACAATCTGTATTGTATAAAGTGCTATATAAATAAAGCTGACTTGACTTGACGAAACTCACACAGTGGCTCTTAAAAATTAAACACAAACTTGTTCATCATTAACTCAATAACTGTAACAGGTGAACCAATCGATGCTATACAAATAAAGGTGACTTGACTTGACTTGACTTTTGAAGTTCTGTCTGAAACCTAGACAATTTAAGTGAGTAAGAAGTATGTCTTGATGTTTATCTACTAAATCCTTGGACTGTGTTAAAATCAGCCAGTCGTGAAGGTAATTTAGCACATGAATGCCCTGGAGTCGCAACTGAGCCTGGAGACCCTCTGGGAACTGCTGCCTCCCATTCTTCCTCAAGGGGGCTTGCCCTCAAGGGGGCTTGCCCTCAGGGCCGCTGAATGCCTTGGCGTCAGGCACAGATGTGTATAGCCATCCGAGAGAAGGAGCGGAGGGTCTCTAAGAGGTGGAGCTCAGGCAGCAACACTAAACTTCTGCTCCGCTCAGTGATGCTGGAGAAATACAGGCCATGGGTGGCTGGTGGAAGCCACAGGATTAACTGCCAGAAAGCCGCAGACTGCTGCTACAGAAGTCAATCCTCTGTCTTATTAGAAAAAGAATGCACACCCTCAGGACACTAATAATTCAATGAACTGTCGACAATTAGTCCTTACTTGTATTATGCAGAGTATTATGAAAGGGAGCTCGACTGAGCGAGTGTGTGATTACCTGTATTTGATACATACATTTATTCATCAGGTATTCATTTTCTCATCTTCATAAAAAGCAGAGATTTCCAGGCGTGCTAACTTCCCTGATGCCATGCATAATGTTTTACAGCAGCACAACCACCCGTGTGGGCAAGATGTCCCCTTTTTAGCATATATTATGCTCTGTTAGCTATTGTTCTGAATTTTACAATTAAAATATACCATATGCTTTTCCACATTTAACCATGCATTTCCAGAAACAAACTGTTGAACAGTATTCTGGGTGTCAGAAATGATCAGCATCTTGTGTGGGCGACAGCTGTATCATACTTTACCTGTCAAGAGGGAAAACAATGGAATGTACAGGTGCATCTCAATAAATTAGAATGTCGTGGAAAAGTTCATTTATTTCAGTAATTCAACTCAAATTGTGAAACTCGTGTATTAAATAGTGTAACTTATAACTTTTTAGTCCAATGGTTAAACCTATTTTTTTTTTCTAGAGACTTTAGATTTAAAAATGTATTGAATATGGTCTAAAAGTGTTTCAATTGGTATATTTTACAGTACATTTTAAGACCTTTTAAGAACTAAAGTACTTAGATTACCTGAAAGCAAATGCAACTATCATTATTTAACATATGTTTTATTAAGTTTTACAGAACACAAACAATCATCAGTCTCTGTGCCATTTTTGAAGTATGAACAGTAATTGAGTTACATTACAGGATCAATGGTGTGACTCACTGGTATAAGTGCTCATCTAATGGGTGAGCCTCGGCCCTCAGTTCTCACTGCAGTTCAACACATCTCTACTCACCCATTTCAAAGCCACCACTGATGATACCAGCAGTAGAGCTTTGAATCTCAAACTGCCTCTCAATCTGAGTGATGGTGCTTTTGGTGTAACTCCTTGTCAGCAATTTACAGAAATAACATAAGGCAAGTACACCAATAAAGAGCTTTCCACACACAAGCACAGAAGAGATTAGATTTTTTTTTTTTTTTTGTTAAACAACAAAGCATATCCAGCACAGGATTCCCCATCCCCCCCTCCCCCCCTTTAGCTTTACAAACTGGGACATATAGCATGGTGTCATTATGAACTACTGCATGAGAAAGATGTGAAAATCATTAGACAACCTCTTGGAGCTGGAGTGATCACAGGAAAGAATCTGGAACTGGAGCCTAAATTCTTATAAGTAATGCTTCTTAAGCAGCAAATCGGTATATTAGTGTGATTTCTTAAGTATCATGTGACAAGACTTAAGGGTTAATGTGTTAATATGTAGATAAACTTGGTTGTCCGCTGTTAAGGTTAGATAGAATGAGAACCAAAAAATTACTATGACTGTAATGTCATGATGGTTTGTTTCAATACAAAACTAGTATATTGCAAGTAGACACTTTTTTAATGACTATTTACAGCAGGGTTTCTCAATTCTGGCCCTTCAGGTCCACTTTCCTGCAGTTTAGCTCCAACCCTAATCAAACACACCTGAACAAGCTAATCAAGGTCTTCAGGATTGCTAGAAACTTACAAGCAGGTGAGTTTGATAAAGGTTGTAGCTAAACTCTGCAGGAAAGTGAATCTAGAGGGCCAGAGTTCAGAATCTCTGATTTACAGTAACCCTTATACATTTTAAATATGCATTGAGAAAAGAAAAAAAAAAAAACTTTAGACAGATATAACAACAATAATGAATGACACATTAACGTCTCTAGGTTACGTATATAACCATGGTTCCCCGAGGGAACGAGACGCTGAGTTGAGATTCGCTTTGGGAACGCCCCTGCGAACGCGGTCATGCAGGGGCATTCCCAAAGCTAATCTCGATGCAGCTCGAGTTCCTGAAGGGGAACAGCATTTAACAAATATCTACAAACAAAAAAGCACAATGCCACAACAAATCTGATTACTTGGTGGAATATGTAGAGGGCTGCATGTGCACCAGTGACTTCATTCGCATTCACATGCACAATTCAGCCCCCTTGCAAAATAATAAACTTGCTGTTAATATTTAATACATGGCAAATAAATAATTTTCCTATATAATATAATAATATAATATAATATAAATAATTGCCAGAGGTTCGCAGTTCTTCATCCGTATGGAACCTGCAGCAAACCTTTGGCAACAACAAACAGTATGATGATACTAGCAAACCTTTGGTGAATATTTGTCAGTGCTGGCAAGCAGTTATAGCAAAGCTGTGGTGATAATGGGCAATCCACTAATCTAATGAAAACTCAAGGAAACATTTTTTACCCCTTTTTCTCTCCATCACCATGTGCCGTGGGGAATTAATTTATAGAATTGCACTGTTGAATAGCTCACAAGAGGGATTTGCCAGAACACTACATTTTTGGTAAGGGTCACTCACAGTGCTTCCCTGTGTGACAGTTAAAACCAAAGTGTTTATCAACTTTGACCCTAGCCTATATGCTCAGTGAAATGTTACCCAAAAAACGAATAGGGCCTTGGCCTCTGCTAATGAAATGGGTACTTGCGATGGTGAACACATTCTCTTCATTACCTCAACAACTCTCACTGATCAGTCAGTCAAGGTCTTATCTGTAATTTGCAACAGGAATAGACACATGGACTGAATATAACATTCCTAGACTGCCATGATTACCTGTGTTAACGACTGAGAGCTTTATTGTTGTGTTAGGAGTGGTTGTTATACAGTATATACGCATGACAAAAATGGTTTCCAGCTATAATGAAACTCAATAAAGGGATAATTCAGCCCAAAATGAAAATCCTGTCAACATTTCCTCACCCTCATGTTGTTTCTAAGCATGTATGCATTTCTTTCTCCTGCAGAACACATTCAAGAGGAGTTTCAAATCACGTTTACAGCAATTAACAGCAACAAGTAGGCCTACTTAACGAACAATTAGCCCTAAATATGCAGCACTCATGGCTGTGTTCTACTTCAAATTTTGTATGGCCTTCCCTCACTAAATTTGCTTCATCTCGTGGACTTATTTTGTGTGAGTGGCCACTTCTGCGGGAACCTGTGCAATTAATTTTAATGGAATGCCCCGAGCCCTTGATCACTTGGAATCCCTTGCCCCTCAAGTAAAGCTTATTAGATAACTTGGAAAATATGTGTGTGTGTGTGTCTGTGTGTGTGTTTCCCTCAGACACAAACATAGAAAAGAGCATGAGGGATGGAGGGAAACAGATTTTTAAAATTGCATTATGATGATGATGATGATGATGATGATGATTATGTGTTCAAAGCTAAAAACACCACAAAAAAATGTAATAAAAACCTCATCACACTAATACATTATACCATTAAATATTTCATATGTATTAATCAATCTAACACAGTAGTGGCAGTAATAACAGTAACCAAGCAAGAACTTTAAATTTAAAGTTATATTTACAACATTTACTTATTGGTGGGGAAATCACCATGTGCACATTTGGACAGTCCCTTCTTCCTCTCAGTTTTTTATTTTTTATTTTTTTTTACAACCAGTAATTTATAACAATAATAAACTTTTTTTTATATATAAATTAATAAAAAAAAACAAAAAAAGATAAATAACAGTGAATGTCATAGAAGTGGTACACCAGATGAATGACATGATTTTCAGGCACCTGGCCACAGAAATAAAATAATACAATTGTTTGTCATCATGTTTTGAAAATGAGCCAGGAACAAAAAAAAACAAACAAAAAACAAAACAATGCAGAACATTATTTTTGAGTGTTTTACTGTTCTGGATAACATAGCACAGGGTATTGGAGTTCTATGTTCTTGGACATTTGCTTATCGTTTTGTACTTTCCTCTTAATCTGTGTGGTGAAAATCCATAATAGGGTATAGCTAAATGCCCGAAGAGAGCTGACCAGTCCCAGAAATAGGTACCTGATGGGGGTGAATTACATTTATTATACATTATAGGGTTTCTGTGCATTCATATTAGGGCTGCATAGAATTGTCCTGCTAGATCTGCTCACCTGAAAGTTTCAATGTCATACATACTCCATGCACCTCTTCCACCGCATTTATTTTGGCCCCATTTCAGACAAGTCGAGTCAATAAGAGCTCCAAAGCAAATGGGAGCAGGAATACCACCTTTAAAAGAGAGATATTACATTTAAAACAATTCTGTGGCTTAATGTGTGTCTAAGACAAGAAAAATATAAACATCTGTCAAAAATATTTGTAACTTTTCCCTCATAAAAACAATGTTTTGCGCTATTATTATTAGCAAATCCAAACATCAACTTACCAAAAACTCTTAAAACTAACAGAAGTATTCCCACTGAGAGAGACTTCAGCACAGGATCCACAATCCTGCAAGAACATATAACATACAAACGTTAAATATTTCACATATATATATATATATATATATG